CAGCAGTTGCCAAGATGCTCTCTGGCCAAAAACTAGCTCAAGCCATGAAATCTAATTAATCGAAATTACTGTCCCCCATCACGTGGTGACAAAGCATTTGGCGCACCTCTATAAACGGCAGTGTAGACAGTAGTCAAAGGGAGCTACAAACCCGCCCGATGAGATTCGAGCAAACAGGCCAGGCATGCAATCTTAAGCATAACAGCAGCAGTAGTGGCAGGGGGAAAGATGCGCCGCGAGGACCGCACAAACGTTCAGTCTCTTCAATCACCTGCGGCCTTGTCGTCCAGATCCGCGAAGAAAGGGCTGCTCCTCTCCATGACGCGGTCGACTTGCGTCAACCTTCTAGCCATTTTGTCCGTGTCCTTCTCCTTCGAGAAGCCCATGATTCTCCTCAACGAGCACGCCTCTCTCAGGAGGCTCGCCGGCCACTTCTCGTAGCTCTTCGTGCGGTTGCGGTCTATTGACTTCTGCAGCGCCTGGAGGGTCTTCGCCGACCCCGGCGCCCCTGCCGACACGACGTCGCTGCCACTTCCCCTGAAGCCCCCGATATCGCTTCCCCTCGAGCTGCCGCCAACGCCTTCCATCGAGCTGCCGCCACCGCTCCCCCTGCCCATCTCCAGGTCGCCATCCGGATCGATGTGAACGAGTCATCCTCGCTGGCGCTCCCAACATCGATGCTGTCGTCGCTGCCTCGCGCTTGTTCATCGTCGCCGCCAGCAAAAGCAGGGGCCTGCATCACGGCCGCCAATTCCTGGGCTCTTGTCTGCTTTCGTTCCCCGAGGAGGCAGGAACAGCAGTGGCCGCCACCTTACGGGGGCGGCCAGCTCCACCCTCGCTCTGAATGTTGGTGGCGGCAGCGCCTCCTGTGATTCCCGGTAGAAGCTTCTGGCTGCTGGGCAGCAAGCCTCCACCGCCTACGGCGGCCCCAAGCGAGCCGTTTTGACTGAATTTTGCCGGGGTTTTAGTTTGCCCACCACGCTGGGTCGTTGTGGCCTCCATGCTGTTGTCCATGTTTGGTTGTCCTCTGTGGGGTGTGGTGTCTGTTGGAGGCAATCGTGGAGTGAGAGCTGCTGGAGCTGCGTCTCATGAAGAGGGAGTGTTCTTTTGGAACCTTTCCAAGGAGTCACGATTAAAATGAATCTTGCTGGCGTTCCAAAATTTGGAATCGAAATTTTGGAATGTGGAACGGAGATTTGGAAACGTTTAAAAAGGCCCTTAGACCCGTTTTAGGGCCGTTTTAAACGTTTCCAAATCTCTGTTCCAAATTCCAAAGTTACGATTCCAAATTTTGGACCAACAGCAAGATTCATTTTAATCGTGACTCCTTGGAAAGGTTCCAAAAGAAAACTCCCTCTTCATGAGACGCAGCTCCAGCAGCTCTCACTCCACGATTGCCTCCAACAGACACCACACCCCATAGAGGACAACCAAACATGGACAACAGCATGGAGGCCACAACGACCCAGCGTGGTGGGCAAACCAAAACCCCGGCAAAATTCAGTCAAAACGGCTCGCTTGGGGCCGCCGTAGGCGGTGGAGGCTTGCTGCCCAGCAGCCAGAAGCTTCTACCGGGAATTACAGGAGGCGCTGCCGCCACCAACACTCAGAGCGAGGGTGGAGCTGGCCGCCCCCGTAAGGTGGCGGCCACTGCTGTTCCTGCCTCCTCGGGGAACGGAAAGCAGACAAGAGCCCAGGAATTGGCGGCCGTGATGCAGGACCCTGCTTTTGCTGACGGCGACGATGAACAAGCGCGAGGCAGCGACGACAGCAGCGATGTTGGGAGCGCCAGGGAGGAGACTCGTTCACCATGGATCCGTATGGCGACCTGGAGATGAGCAGGGGGAGCGGTGGCGGCAGCTCGAGGGAAAGCGTTGGCGGCAGCTCGAGGGGAAGCGATATCGGGGGCTCCAGGGGAAGTGGCAGCGACGTCGCGTCGGCAGGGGCGCCGGGGTCGGCGAAGACCCTCCAGGCGCTGCAGAAGTCTATCGACCGCAACCGCACCAAAAGGTATGAGAAGTGGCTGGCGAGCCTGCTGAGAGAGGCGTGCTCGTTGCGGAAAATCATGGGCTTCTCGAAGGAGAAGGACGCCGAGAACATGGCTAGAAGGTTGACGCAAGTCGACCGCCTGATGGAGAGGAGCAGCCCTTTCTTCCGGATCTGGATGACAAGGCCGCAGGTGATTGAAGAAACTGAACGTTTGTGCGGTCCTCGCGGCGCACCTTTCCCCCTGCCACTACAAGTACTGCTGCTGTTATGCTTAGGTTGCTTGTCTGGCTCGAATCTCATCGGGCGGGTTTTTGTAGCTCCCTTTGACTACTGTCTACATTGCCGTTTATAGAGGTACGCCAAATGCTTTGTCACCACGTGATGGGGGACAGGAATTTCGATTAATTAGATTTCATGGCTTGAGCTAGTTTTTCGCCAGCGAGCATCTTGGCAACTACTGCTGGAGAAGCTTCTGGCTGCTGGGCAGCAAGCCTCCATCGCCTACGGCGGCCCCAAGCGAGCCGTTTTGACTGAATTTTGCCGGGGTTTTGGTTTGCCCGCCACGCTGGGTCGTTGTGGCCTCCATGCTGTTGTCCATGTTTGGTTGTCCTCTGCGGGGTGTGGTGTCTGTTGGAGGCAATCGTGGAGTGAGAGCTGCTGGAGCTTCGTCTCATGAAGAGGGAGTATTCTTTTGGAACCTTTCCAAGGAGTCACGATTAAAATAAATCTTGCTGTTGGTCCAAAATTTGGAATCGAAATTTTGGAATTTGGAACAGAGATTTGGAAACGTT